TTTTTTCTGATTGGAGGGAAGTGCCAAACTTGTCCCCCGATTATTTAAAGTGGCTATTTTAGTCCTAGAATTTATAGAAGTGTCAAACTAGTCTCTATATTATTTCAATGTGACTTAAAATAGTCCTTTCTGAAGACTATTTCAACTCGTAATAAAAAAGTCGGGGTCTAAATTAATACTTTTGTAACTCGGGCTCTAAAATGATCCACTTGCAAAGAATCCAAGAACATTTTGGCACTTCTCTCATTGACCCCTGCAAAAAGTCTGGAGGATTATTTTGACACATTTCTCATTCTGATAACTTTATTAATTTTCCCAGGATTATAACTGTACAATAAGCTTTGTTCGGTCCCACTTTCTTGTTAGAGAGGGAAAGCGTGCCAACCAAAAGGGTAATACCAGTCCAATTCTCATGATAGATCGCATTTGCAAGTCCGCCCCTCGTTGGAAGAGGGCTGATATATTGGTTTTCAACACCGGCCACTGGTGGACCCATGGAAAAACATCAAGGGGGTAAATTCTTCCTCTTAATTTTGCTTTTGTTCCGATGATCCTTCTCGGACATGTTTATAATAATACTAAATCTAAAATCACTTGCCTTTTTTTGCTCAGGAAGGACTATTATAAGGAAGGAGATGTTGTCTATCCACAATTTGATGCAACAGAAGCTTTTAAGAAGTCCTTGCAAACTTGGGGAAGGTGGATAGACAGTAACATGAATCCTTCAAAAAAATTGATTTTTTACCGTGGATACTCTACAGCTCATTTCAGGTTACACTATCTCCATGCCTTCATAGTTTGATATTTTCATAAAAGTTCAATTAATGAAAATTTTCTTAACTAGGGGTGGCGATTGGGATTCCGGCGGTACGTGTCATGGAGAGAAATCCCCTGCCTTTAGTGGATCTATCATTGACAACTATCCTTTGAAAATGAAGATTGTTGAGGGTGTAATTGAAAAAATGAATTTTCCCATAATTCTCTTGAATGTGACTAAGCTAACCAACTTCCGCAAAGATGCTCATCCTTCTATTTATGGCAAGAGGATGATGGAAGGAGAAAGAGTCTCTAAGAGAAGACAGGACTGCAGCCATTGGTGCCTCCCTGGAGTTCCTGATACATGGAATGAGTTAATATATGCAACTCTTGTTCTGGAGCAGACATGAGAAAAATTCATGGCGAATTCATGGTAAAGTTACTCCATTGTTTTGTTTAATGTCCATCAAGATTAATAAGCAAGTGATTTCTTAATATGAAAACTGCTAGGATTGTGCTGATTGTTAGAATGCCATTGTTTTGTTGTTTGGATGCAAGCTAATTTAGCGCTAGTGATTAGGATTGTGTAACTGATTATTCTTTTTGGTGAAAGTGGGTGGAACCAGCTTGAGGTTCTCTGAATTTCAGTTATTCAAATTAAAAATGTCTAGTGCTTATTTGGGATTACTTTTATTTTTTTATTTTTTTTGTTTTTTATTTAAAAATATATATATTTAGTGTCTGTTTTTGTATGTTTTTATTCTTATTATAAATAAATTAACTTGTTTTTAAAAATACTTAAAATCATTATAAAATTAAGAGAGATTTGGTAGCAATTGCCCCAGATTTTGGTAAACTCTTTACCATTATATATGACACTAAAAATTTCACCACCAAACTTAAATGCTTATTTCATTTTTAATTTAATAAATAGTTTATAATTATTTATCACAAATTTTAATTATTTCAGTTACTTCAATTTTGATGAGAGTCTCCTCCTGAGGCATAGTCAATTCATTAAGAATGTCGAAATGACAGACCATCTTAATGAGGAAGATCTTAATAGATGATCTATTCCTAAAATGGATAAATCCCTTATTTACAGAATATGAGCCTTGATCAAAGTATAGATTTCTATTAAAATTGTAGAACAATAGAACACAATTGATCAGATTGATAAAACAATCTATCTATTAATGGAAGAAGACCCATAGAGATATATGAGAGTATTCAAATATATTCATATTGGTCTCATTCAAATTGCAAATTCAAACCTCTCACCTTAGAAGGTTTAAATGCATTAATACTTGTTTGCTTGAAGGATTGTCGATGCCTTAATCGGGCTCAATCTCTCATGGGAGTTATAGAAACTAGTCTGTGCCACAGGCCAATCTATTTTAACACTTTTCCTAATTTAAGTTTATTCCTGAAGGATGTTAACTTATTTGAAGCGGTCAAACTTCAACTTCAACTATAGGGTTATGATTTCTTTACAGGATCATAAATCATAGCTTTGGTGTTTAGAATTCACCTTCGAAATTTAAATACTTTAAACCCTAATGTTAAGAAGACGGTTCAACCCATTGAAAAAACTACCTTATTTGAAACCAACTTTTGGCCTCTCACATTGCCACTAATAGAACTATTAGATAGAACGAGGTA